TGAGGTGCTTCAAAATAATCTGAAGTTAGAAAATTTTGATACTTTAGAGGAAGATCTCTTAGATGAAATATTTGAAGAGTATATCAATAAAGCATTTGAGAAGGTGTGCGATTTTATTTTCTTATATAAGTTTAAAAAACAAGGTTTTTCAAACATCCAACATTATGTGTGTTTCATAAATACACATAAACTATTTACATAAATTGTTTCATAAAATACACAAATTATATGTATGAATTAAATTTAATATAAACGTTATATTTAATTTCCAAACGATAGGTAATTAAACAATTACTTTAAATCCGTAGGTCGTTTCTTTTAATGAATACTCATTTATAACTTGTGGAAAAATTTGCAAGTCAAAAGGAGGTTTAAAAAGACACGCAAATTCAGCACCTGCGTTGATCAGCAATGTATCAAAATTAGATTGTTTTACAGTTAACATATTTTCAAATATTGTAAAAGAAGTGCAAAATGTTTTATTCTGTGACAATTGTTATCTAGAAGAAACAAGGCAGACAAAGAGTTTGAATACAATGATGACCTGTACAACAAAGTGAGCAAGTTATTAACTGAGTTCATATCATCAAGGAATGCTGACATATTTTTATCATAGTTTTATTCAAGCATTTTTCTATACGCCTATTATTATATCTTTAATCTGGATAAGCGTTTATGTGCTTTATTAGCCCTCCATATTGGAAATCATATTTTAGGTTTTTATAAAAAACATCTAAACTCTCCTTATGAAGAAAGCAAACAAAAACCAATAAGTGCACAAGAGCTAGATGGATTGCAGTATTTAGCTGGTTATGTTATACATAAATTTATAAAAAAAACAAGAAACAATAAAAATTTTAATCCAAAAATAAATCAGGACACAATAGCAATACTTAAAAAATTTACAACAGGTATATTCGTTGATCAAAAATTAATTTGTTCTCAAAACAGAGAGGGCTGTAACAAAAGAGTGTCAATGTATTTTTATTGTAACTGAGAGTTTGTTTCGGAGAGAAACTAACAAAAGTAGCTAATAATATTTTAGAAAATATGCTTAAACTTCATCTTCACGTACGCTCTTTTTCATTAACTCAAAATATTGTTTAGTCGCACAAAGAAAAGAAAAAAGAAAAATCTTTACGTAAAACTATCAAAAAAGCATCTCAGAAACTTTGTATACACGAATAAATATTATTTAATGCAATGAAAAATAATTTTCATAACATAAAAAAGAAAAGTAAAATACATTTTTATTAATAAAAAAACAACACTTTACTTAATTTCCAAACACTGCTTAAAAAGTCTTACAATAAAAAATTTGTGTCATCGTAAGGACCTTAAGTATTTTTCTAAGGAAATTTCTTATCTTAACGTTTCTTAAGCAGAGTTTCATCTACAATGGTCCAAGATGGTAAACGTTTTGTTTTATGAGTATCTTTTGTGTTACCAAATACAGGTACAACAGAGCGCTGTATTCTCAACGTATTTGATTGATAACCAAACTAGTGTATGGTAGGGTTATCATTTTTTCTTCCTAAACTACGATGTCTTCCAAAATGTTCCTCTAAAACATCTTGACTAAAGCGCTCACTAAGAACATAAGACATTCCAGCATTTAATAAGTATTTTGTTACTTCAATATGAGAATAGGATGTAACTTCAAGTCCCTCGTAAGTTTGGGAAGACATAAACATTTTCTCTCATTCATCGTTTGTAAAGTCACCAACATGTTTAAAAACATTTTCTTTCCAAAGTTTTAAATAGTTTAGAAAACTTCCTTTCAACCATGTAAATCGCTCATCATTAACGTTTTTATATGGTCCCAAAAAGGGTTTGCTTTTTGTTAAACTTTCTGAATGGTTTCTTACATTCATGCAATCGAAAAACTTATCAGCAAACTTGCACAGTTCTGCAGTTTTATGCATATAAGTAGGGTAATAACTTTCAATTACTTTTGACACTGTTTCACTTAACACTTGGGCAGCCAACCGAACATTCATTACAGAATATGGCGTCAAGTTGAAATGTTCCGATGTAAGTTTAGGGATAAGTTTTAAACAACGCTCTAATTCGTCATTATATAGTGTTTTTAAGTGAGACCAAAAAATATCATTTTCATTTCACATATGACGTGAAACATTTCCACTTAAACCTACGAAGGAGAAAAATTTATTTGTTGTATAAATGATATCAATAAATCAGTATAAATATTTTTTATCAGGTTCTAATTAATTCATGTATTCACCTATAAAAAATATACCCAAAACATATATTATCAAAAAATTATATTTACACAAACACTAACAAAATAGGAAAATTTACCTGAATGATAAAGGCGATTTCTCAAAGTTTTTATAAGGTGAGGAGCATCTGCAAAAACCAAATAAATCTATAATTTGCAAATAAATTTATTATACGGTATGTTACTTCACTTTCCACCAACCCATCCATCATACTATGCAATCAATAAAATTTTCTATTGTTAGATGCACCATCTAAAACTGATGTAATAACATAAAGATTACACGTTAATTCCAAAATTGAAAAAGCTTTCCAAAATGTCATCATAAGCTGATTTCATGTAATACCTTTTGTAGCAAAATATGCAAGAATAAACTTTAAATCAGATGCTTTGCCTCTAATATGATAAATAAGAGCGTGAGTCGCACTTGAGTATGAAAAAGTACACTTGAGTATGAAAAAGTACACTTGAGTATGAAAAAGTACACTTGAGTATGAAAAAGTACTGTTGATACTTGGATCGCCAAGATCCACATACCCAATAAGTTCGTCTGTATATTTATCAAAAACTAAATCCTCTTGAATCTTGATTTCATCAAAAGAAAGACAAAAATATTTTTGGTAACCAATTAGATTTAAAGTTTCATTCCGAAGATCATCTATTATTGCAGGATTGAAACCTACACAGGGTTTTATGGCATTTTTGTAATCTCTAAGTGTTCTGAGACTAGGAAACTTTAATATTTTGGCAGATCGTAATTCATTATAAGCAGATGCAGACTTCATTGGATTAAAAAAATGCTTTTTTGTTGCTCCCATAACATTTTCACAAATGGGGACATTTTATTGTAACACTTCATTGCTAATGCTAGATGATACAGCTACTGATTTTAATACAATTTCACGTTTCATTTTTTCTAATGTTTCAGTCAATTTTCTGCATTTGACTCTTTTCTCTCTAAAGGCTAACAAAATTTTGCTTTAATGTGTTTTTTTCAAAGGAGCATTTTTTTTTGCAGGAACAACTACATTTTTTATGTGATAGTTGTTTGTAAAATCTTTTTTCAAAGTCGGAACAGTTTTTACACTGATTGTTTTTTGACGGCAAAGAAAAAATAATATCACAACTTTTTGGTCTTAGGTAATGCTGGTCAATTGATAGTCCTGGTTGAAAGGCAGTTGACTTAGGAACATAGTGACATACAAGTTCATTTGAAGTAATATTTGTTAATTCGAGGCATATTTTAAAATGCTCTATTTCAGTGATTAAGTCTGAGACAAGGACATTATTTATACTTCCTGAATTTTCTTGTATAAAAAAATGGTCTATAGAAAGGACCCAACCAAGGACAATGCAACTATAGACCAAAGATTCATCAGCAATAATTTCATTAGTTGGAACCATAGAAGTTCTCTGCAATTTTTTTGAACGATGTTGATTTTTCATAATGAGTTATCATCTAATTATCAGTAAATTTAAGTTTATCTGCTCTATAATTGAATTCAAAGAAACTTGTGTAGCATTTTGAGTTTAAATTTCTATCACTTACTCTATCTTATACAATATGTTGATGTTTACGTTCTGGCTGCTGTAAACTTTCGTGAGACTTTTTAGAAAAGATTTTTGTTGGTACTGTAAGTAACTTTAACGTTTTTCTTTTGTTCTCTGGAATATAAAAAACAAAATTTTAACTGTTTTTAGCTTAGCAATATATTTTTTTTACTTTAGGTAATTATATAAATACTTAATTAACTTTTAATTTGTGAATAAATAATTTATTTGCAAGTTAAAAACTAATAATTACATTTTGTATACTAACTTGTTAATTAAATATCATCTTTAGCAAAATGTCTTTCACAAATGTAAATTTTTCCTGCAGCTACTCGATCTTTCAAATCTTTATCTGTAACGCGATATTTAAATAGAACATAAATTATTTCTTTCCTCCAGTTTGAGTGAAATTCGTCATTTCTCATTGAATGAGAAATGACGAATTTCACTTTAATTATTTCTTTCCTCCAGTTTGAGTGAAATTCGTCATTTCTCATTCAATGAGAAATGACGAATTTCACTCAAACTGGAGGAAAGAAATAATTAATGTTCTATTTAAATACAAAAAAAGCAAACGAAACTTGAATAGCTGAGTGGAGCACATTATACTTACCGACTATTAACTCAAAAAGGGCTGATCCTTTTAATCCACTCATATTTCCAGCGCGATCCCTTCTTTTTGAACCCAGAAATTGTTAATTTTATTCAACAACGCTAAGAAACAGAGCTCGCTCAAGAAACAGAATGATGAAAAAAAATACTGTTGAACAATACTATTGTTTTATTTATAAATTACTCTCCTATATTTAAACATATAAAAGATGTAGAAAATGCTTCCTCTTTCATATTGACATCTAAAAGAGTTTTTTTTTGCGGCATCGGAAAGAGCTTTTTGTCATACTTTGTATAAAGAGCTATTATCATTTTCATTTGAAAAAAACAGCTTTTTATATATGAAAAGTAGGAATACTATAGTGTATAGGATACTATAGTATACTAATAAGTATGGCAAAAAAGTCGTTCCGACCATGAGAATAAACACCTTTTTAGAAGTGCATAATTAATAAAAAAAGCCGTCTTAAAGACGCATTTTTCATGTCTTTTCATTATAAGATAAAGACAAAAAAGACGCATTTTCGATGTCAAAAAAAGATGTCGTTTAGAATTACATATTCGACTAAAAAAAGGTGTCTTAAAGACGCATTTTTTATGTCTTTTCATGACAAGATTAAGATAAAAAAAAGACGTCTTTTCGATGTCGAAAAAAGATGTTTTTTAGATTTGCATAATCGATTAAAAAAAGACGTCTTAAAGACATCGTAAATCGTAAAGACGACTTTTAAAGACGTCTTAACAACGTCTTTTTTCCCACTGGGTAAGGCATATTGTTTGATAAAAGTTTTAACACTACATGTTTTTTTTTTTTTTATAAGCATAACGTTTATAAGCATATGGAGACTCAGATTTGGAAAAAAATAAGCTTATGTAAGCATATTCCTGAGCCTCGATAAACCGTTTAAAAAATTCAAATTTTATTCATTTTATTATTTCATTGATAACATTTGTATATAGTATATAATTTTTATGTTTTATTATACTGTACTAAAGTCGACCTTTTATTTTTCTTATAACCATTAACCTTTATTAACGCACGCATTTTTAGAAAGTATTGAAATAAGCATAATTTATTATAAATATGCTTAAGTTTAAGCATATTTTTGAGCCTCTTTTGACTTTTTGCTTAAGCATACCTGAGCCTGTTTCAAAAATTTCATATGCTTATAAAAAAAAACATGTATTTAATAAACAAAAAACTTTATAAAATAGCAAATAAATGCTATATATGAATTGATATGTTGCCACATAGCAGTTTTTAAATAAAAGTTGTATGTTTTAACATTACATAATTTAAAGTTTACATAAGTTAGACATTTACGTACAATTTGATACTACCATCTTTTTTTATTTTAAACACGATTAGTAATCAAAGTTACGTTATGAAAACTTTATGAATTTATTTCTGATATTTCTTTTCTAAATAAGAAAAAAATTATCTTAGATTAAAAAAAATCATCAAAGTGTAAACGAAACGGTAATAATATAGTCAATAAAACAAATAACTTAGTGTCCTAATATGCCCCACAAAATCCATTTTACTGAAACTAATGATATTGAAAGGTTCAATTGCAGATATTCTTTTTAAAACCAGCTTCTAAAAGAGGATAAAAAAATACTGAAAAATATAAACTTTTTATAAATAAAGCAAATTAGCTATAGCTCAAGATAAATCTTTGATCGTTGTATAGCTTAAAAAAATACGCAGATTTTGTTTTTCGCAAAATTACTGATGCTTTTTGGTCCTTTAGTAATTAATTTTTTTTAATATAATAATGAAGCACAATAATTTAAAATGTTTCACTAAAAAAAAAAAAAACGTTTTGAAAAAAAATTTAGCTTTTTAGCTAAGATATAAGGCTTTAGACATAACTGTCCCTATATGCTTTACCTTATGTACTAAGGTAACATGTTTTCATCAGTAGGAACCAATGTATGGTTCTTCAAAAGACATTTTGTTTTGATTTTGAGCAACTTTAAAAGACTTAGAGATGTTTTTTTTTAGAAAAAACGTTTAAAAAGTTTGTGTTTCGAAGTTAAGCAATTAATTTAGACCTCCAATTTTAAGTTATTCAAAATTGTTTTGGTGTTTAAAACTTTATTTCACATCCTTTCATGTTATTGAAAGTAATTATTGTTTTAAAAACGGTTTTTTTTCTCTACATTTTTCTTATTATTTTCAGCTATATTATTTAAAATATACATTACAAATGTATTAAAAAGAATGCGTTTCTATTTGAAATCTAGTGGTCTTATAAAAACTTCGTCGCTACATGTTGCTACATAAAAAGTACATGGTATAAATGCATATATTACTACATGTTGGTACATTTAAAGTTGTAAACACGTAATTAGAAAGTTGCACTGGAGCATAAGAACTAGCATTAATTAGAAATTAAATTTTAAATTTTAGTAATGCAGAAGTTCTAAGTAAAATTTCAGTTGTATTCGCTTTGTCATTTTCAGATCAAAAACGAGATACGTTAAAAATAAATAAATTAACGAAATAAGGATTGAGAAGATTGGAGAATGTAATCTTTTAAAATAATTGTTGAAAGTATTTTCAGCAAAATTCTATAAGACAATATTTGCTAATAAGTAATATTATTAAAAACACCGACAAGTGGTAAAAAATCAACGATTAAAAGAAAAAGTTTCCACTATTTTATAAGAAAAGCTCACAACTTTTATATAAAAAAAAAATCATTTAAGTATAGTTCTTTGTTTTCTTGATTTTTTTGAATTAGTGATGATCTTTTGCTTAGCAATAAAAAAACGCACGAGAAACAAAAATTCGAGTTTGATATCTGGATTGTCCTAATATTCTATGCCTTGTGCAAAACTTCACGTTTCTGAGGCAAATCGGTATTTTCTCGTATCCAATACCTATAAAAATAATATTTGATTTGATATAAATTACTGTAAAAATTGCATATATAATTTAAATTTTGTTTAAAATCTATTGCAAAATATTTTGCAGAAAAAAAAAAAGAACTATTTACAAGACCATACCAAGCATGTTGTGGAAAATCCATTTTGGCGTTTCCATCCCAATCATCTTTTCCATCCCAACCAATCTTTTTACCATAAACATCTGCATATATCCAGGTTGATAAATAAATACTACCTTTATTATCTTGATAAAAGAATGAAATATTTCGATAAATAAATAAAACAATGATAATATTATCATACTGTTGAAGTAATAAAATCATACATATTTACTTACTAGTAAGTGAACCCCATATTTCATGCTTTGATGAAATATGTTCAGCTGTAGTTATAAGAGAACCAGAAACATATGGAAGCCGTTGACCAATACTTTTACTACCAAACTCCCATTCATCAAACTTTTTAACAATACTCACATCAGTTTGTTTAGCATTAGTAGAAGATAGGTCATACTCCACAGGTGCAGAAAATATTCCTCCCCATCGACCTTAAGTAAAACATAATTTTGCGTTATTAAAAAAATTGTAAATATTGCTAACTTAAACATTAAAGTTTCATTACCTAGTTCGTCAGCTTCTAACCTATACATAAATTTATCTGCTTTGATTTTGTAGCCATCCTTTAATTCATTGGCATACTTAAATATTGAGTAGTCGTTATAAAGATCTGGTTCATAATAATTTCTTTTCCATACATTTTCACTATTCCAAGTATTCGAATGTGAAGATACTATAAGTGTCCAGCCTCCACCATCACGTGTCATATCACAATAAACCTCTAATGCACGTTCAGAATTTGGTTCAATTGTGTAAATGCCATCATACAATGGTTGTCCTTGTTTTTCTAAAAGTCTTTTAACCGCCAGACAAGATTCTGCAACTATAAAATTAATGTAAAATAAAAAAATAAAAAACTAAGTCTTCTTCTCTGCATTTAAGTCAACATAGTACAAATAAATTCTATTCATTTAAATTTATTAATGTAAATATATAAATATATAATTAATTTTTTAAGTTAGTAATTTTTTAAGTTAAAGTTTTATAAATTGGAGTTTATTATATTTAAGTTCATATATATATATATATATATATATTATATATATATATATATATATATATATTATATATATATATATACTATATATATATATATATATATAGATATATATATATATTATATATATATATATATATATATATAAATATATATATATATATATATATATATATATATATATATATATATATATATATATATATATATATATATATATATATATATATATATGTAT